CCAGGCAATTAGAGAAGAAATTAAAAAATATATGGAAACAAATGAAAATGAAAATACAACAATCCAAATGCTTTGGGATGCAGCGAAGACAGTCCTGAGAGGAAAATACATTGCAATCCACGCCTATCTCAAGAAACAAGAAAAATCCCAAATACAAAATCTAACAGCACACCTAAAGGAAATAGAAGCAGAACAGCAAAGACACCCCAAACCCAGCAGAAGAAGAGAAATAATAAAGATCAGAGCAGAAATAAACAATATAGAATCTAAAAAAACTGTAGAGCAGATCAACGAAACCAAGAGTTGGTTTTTTGAAAAAATAAACAAAATTGATAAACCTCTAGCCAGGCTTCTCAGAAAGAAAAGGGAGATGACCCAAATAGATAAAATCATCAATGAAAATGGAATTATTACAACCAGTCCCTCAGAAATACAAACAATTATCAGGGAATACTATGAAAAATTATAGGCCAACAAATTGGACAGCCTGGAAGAAATGGACAAATTCCTAAACACCCACACTCTTCCAAAACTCAATCAGGAGGAAATAGAAAGCTTGAACAGACCCATAACCAGCGAAGAAATTGAATCAGTTATCAAAAATCTCCCAACAAATAAGAGTCCAGGACCACATGGCTTCCCAGGGGAGTTCTACCAGACGTTTAAAGCAGAGATAGGGGCGCCTGGGTGGCTCAGTCGGTTAAACGTCCGACTTCGGCTCAGGTCACGATCGCGTGGTCCATGAGTTTGAGCCCCACGTCAGGCTCTGGGCTGATGGCTCAGAGCCTGGTGCCTGGTTCCGATTCTGTGTCTCCCTCTCCCTCTGCCCCTCCCCCGTTCATGCTCTGTCTCTCTCTGTCTCAAAAGTAAATAAAAGGTTAAAGCAGAGATAATACCTATCCTTCTCAAGCTATTCCAAAAAATAGAAAGGGAAGGAAAACTTCCAGACTCATTCTATGAAGCCAGTATTACTTTGATTCCTAAACCAGACAGAGACCCAGTAAAAAAAGAGAACTACAGGCCAATATCCCTGATGAATATGGATGCAAAAATTCTCAATAAGATACTAGCAAATCGAATTCAACAGCATATAAAAAGAATTATTCACCATGATCAAGTGGGATTCATTCCTGGGATGCAGGGCTGGTTCAACATTCGCAGATCAATCAACATGATACATCACATTAACAAAAAAAAAAGAGAAGAACCATATGATCCTGTCAATCGATGCAGAAAAGGCCTTTGACAAAATTCAGCACCCTTTCTTAATAAAAACCCTCGAGAAAGGATAGAAGGAACATACTTAAACATCATAAAAGCCATATATGAAAAGCCCACAGCTAACATCATCCTCAATGGGGAAAAACTGAGAGCTTTTTCCCTGAGATCAGGAACACGACAGGGATGCCCACTCTCACCGCTGTTGTTTAACATAGTGTTGGAAGTTCTAGCATCAGCAATCAGACAACAAAAGGAAATCAAAGGCATCAAAATTGGCAAAGATGAAGTCAAGCTTTCACTTTTTGCAGACGACATGATACTATACATGGAAAATCCGATAGACTCCACCAAAAGTCTGCTAGAACTGATACATGAATTCAGCAAAGTCGCAGGATACAAAATCAATGTACAGAAAGCAGTTGCATTCTCATACACTAACAATGAAGCAACAGGAAGACAAATAAAGAAACTGATCCCATTGACAGTTGCACGAAGAAGCATAAAATACCTAGGAATAAATCTAACCAAAGATGTAAAAGATCTGTATGCTGAAAACTATAGAAAACTTATGAAGGTAATTGAAGAAGATTTAAAGAAATGGAAAGACATTCCCTGCTCATGGATTGGAAGAATAAATATTGTCAAAATGTCAATACTACCCAAAGCTATCTACGCATTCAATGCAATCCCAATCAAAATTGCATCAGCATTCTTCTTGAAACTAGAACAAGCAATCCTAAAATTCATATGGAACCACAAAAGGCCCCGAATAGCCAAAGTAATTTTGAAGAAGAAGACCAAAGCAGGAGGCATCACAATCCCAGACTTTAGCCTCTACTACAAAGCTGTCATCATCAAGACAGCATGGTATTGGCACAAAAACAGACACATAGACCAATGGAATAGAATAGACACCCCAGAACTAGACCCACAAATGTATGGCCAACTCATCTTTGACAAAGCAGGAAAGAACATCCAATGGAAAAAAAAGACAGTCTCTTTAACAAATGGTGCTGGGAGAACTGGACAGCAACATGCAGAAGGTTGAAACTAGACCACTTTCTCACACCATTCACAAAAATAAACTCAAAATGGATAAAGGACCTGAATATGAGACAGGAAACCATCAAAACCCTAGAGAAGAAAGCAGGAAAAGACCTCTCTGACCTCAGCTATAGCAATCTCTTACTTGACACATCCCCAAAGACAAGGGAATTAAAAGCAAAAATGAATTACTGGGACCTTATGAAGATAAAAAGCTTCTGCACAGCAAAGGAAACAACCAACAAAACTAAAAGGCAACCAACAGAATGGGAAAAGATATTTGCAAATGACATATTGGACAAAGGGCTAGTATCCAAAATCTATAAAGAGCTCACCAAACTCCACACCTGAAAAACAACCCAGTGAAGAAATGGGCAGAAAACATGAATAGACACTTCTCTACAGAAGACATCCACATGGCCAACAGGCACATGAAAAGATGCTCAACGTTGCTCATCAGGGAAATACAAATCAAAACCACACCCAGATATCACCTCACGCCAGTCAGAGTGGCCAAAATGAACAAATCAGGAGACTACAGATGCTGGAGAGGATGTGGAGAAACGGCAACCCTCTTGCGCTGTTGGTGGGAATGCAAACTGGTGCAGCCGCTCTGGAAAACAGTGTGGAGGTTCCTCAGAAAATTAAAAATAGACCTACCCTATGACCCAGCAACAGCACTACTAGGAATTTACCCAAGAGATACAGGAGTACTGATGCATAGGGGCACTTGTACCCCAATGTTTATAGCAGCACTCTCCACAATAGCCAAATTATGGAAAGAGCCTAAATGTCCATCAACTGATGAATGGATAAAGAAATGGTGGTTTGTATACACAATGGAGTACTACGTGGCAATGAGAAAGAATGAAATATGGCCCTTTGTAGCAACATGGATGGAAATGGAGAGTGTTATGCTAAGTGAAATAAGCCATACAGAGAAAGACAGATACCATATGTTTTCACTCTTATGTGGATCCTGAGAAACTTAACAGAAACCCATGGGGGAGGGGTGGGGAAAAAAAAAAAAGAGGTTAGAGTGGGAGAGAGCCAAAGCATAAGAGACTCTTAAAAACTGAGAACAAACTGAGGGTTGATGGGGGGTGGGAGGGAGGAGAGGGTGGGTGATGGGTATTGAGGAGGGCACCTTTTGGGATGAACACTGGGTGTTGTATGGAAATCAATTTGACAATAAATTTCATATATTGAAAAAAAAGTCGTTGCTTCACTATATATTAATTTGGATATAAACTTTAAGAAATAAAGTTAAAAACAAAACAAACAAAATAAATATTTAAAAAATTAAAAAAAAAAAAGTCTAGTGAACCCCTCCCCCACCCAGCCTCAACAAATAGCACCATTTTTTTTTTTTTCAACGTTTATTTATTTTTGGGACAGAGAGAGACAGAGCATGAACGGGGGAGGGGCAGAGAGAGAGGGAGACACAGAATCAGAAACAGGCTCCAGGCTCTGAGCCATCAGCCCAGAGCCCGACGCGGAGCTCGAACTCACAGACGGTGAGATCGTGACCTGGCTGAAGTCGGACGCTTAACCGACTGCACAACCCAGGCGCCCCTCCATTTTTTTTTTTTTTAAATGGAAAGGTTTCATTAAGCTCCCTGAAGTCAAGTACTGCAATTAGAAAAACTGCATTGTATAATTTTGCTTCCTGGTGCTTATCATTTTGCAGAGCTGTATTTGCTTATAAAATTTAATTTTAATTTCCCCCTAGAATGCTGAACTTCCTGAAAGCAGACATTCTATATTTTGTTCATAATTACTTTTCTAGTACTTAGTTGAATGCTTGGCTAAGTGTTCAAACCACTCTAGGAAAATTAAAGGTTGTGCTATTAAATAGCTTGAGAATTGCACAGGTATCTACCAACTAGTGAGTATTAAGTAAATAGTTATGTTTTAAATACGTTTCTTCAAGATCACATACTGTAATCTATCATGGAGGAGATACATTAGGAAATATAAATGAAGAATTTGTTTTAGTGACTTGATACACAATTTGTATAATACAGCTAAAGGAGTGCTGAGAAATTTATAGCACTAAATGTTTACTTTAGAAAAGAAAAAAAATGTCTCAAATCAATAGGGGCGTCTGGGTGGCTCAGTTGGTTAAACATCTGACTTTGGCTCAGGTCATGATCTCATGGTTCATGGGTTTGAGCTCTGCATTGGGGTCTGTACTGACAGCTCAGAGCCTGGAGTCTGCTACGGTTTCTGCATCTCCCTCTCTGCCCCTCCCCAGCTCGCGCTCTGTCTTTCTCTCTCAAAAATAAACATTAAAAAAAAGCATGGGAGCACAATAAACCCAACTTCAGCAGAAGGAAAACTCAAGAGCAGAAATCAATGAAATTGGAAACAGAAAACAATTTTTAAAAAATCCAGTAAAAGAAAGCTGCATGAAAAGAATAAAATTGACAAACTTCTAGAAACAATGAACAAGAAAAAATAAGACAAATGATCAATATGACATATAAAACAAGGGTATAAAAAACAGAACCCACTGACACCAAAATTATAACAAAAGAATAATATCGTGAACTCTATGCACATAAATCTGACACATAAAATGGACTAATTGCTAGGAAAGCAAAAATAATACAATTAACCTAAACGTGATAATTAAATTGTCCAATAACTATTAAAGAAACTGAATTTGTAATTTAAACACACAAAAAAATCTCCAGGACCAGATACTTTTGCTAAAGAATTCTACCAAACAGGTTGCAGACCCCGAGAGACGGCTGCTGGTCCAAGCACCATGGCCGCGGAGCGGACCTGGCTGCTACGAGGCTCTGGTGGCTGGAGCACGCCTAGTTGGTATGAGCCCGGCGCGAGTTCCCGGGCCCCGAGACGCTGGCTCAGGTAAATTTTTCCATAACCTTACGGAGAGAAAGGACTTTGAGACATGGCTCGATAACATTTCTGTTACATTTCTTTCTCTGACGGACTTGCAGAAAAAAATGGAACTCTGGATCACCTGATTAGTCTGAGTGGGGCAGTCCAGCTCAGGCATCTCTCCAATAACCTGGAGCCTCTCCTCAAGCGGGACTTGCTCAAACTCCTTCACCTGGAGCTCAGTTTTTGTTAAAATGGCTCGATCCCCAGACTTTACTCACATGCTGCCTTGTCTCTAAACAGTGGAATAAGGTGATAAGTGCCTGTACGGAGGTGTGGCAGACTACATGTAAAAATCTGGGCTGGCAGATAGATGATTCTGCTCAGGACACTTTGCACTGGAAGAAGGTTTATTTGAAGGCTATTTTGAGAATGAAGCAACTGGAGGACCATGAAACCTTTGAGACCTCATCATTAATTGGACACAGTGCCAGAGTGTATGCACTTACTACAAAGATGGACTTCTCTGTACAGGTGGTTTTGCAGAAGTGCAAAGTCAAGTCTCTTTTGCACAGCCCTGGAGACTACATACTCTTAAGTGTGGACAAATATGAGATCAAGATTTGGCCGATTGGGAGAGAAATTAACTGCAAATGCTTGAAGACATTGTCTGTCTCTGAGGAAAGGAGTATCTGCCTGCAGCCAAGACTTCATTTTGATGGCAAATACATTGTCTGTAGTTCCGCACTGGGTCTCTACCAGTGGGACTTTGCCAGTTACGATATTCTCAGGGTCATCAAGACTCCTGAGATAGCAAACTTGGCCTTGCTTGGCTTTGGAGATATCTTTGCTCTGCTGTTTGACAACCACTACCTGTATATCATGGGCTTGAGGACAGAGAGCCTGATTAGCCGCTGGCCTCTGCCAGAGTACAGGAAATCAAAGAGAGGCTCAAGCTTCCTGGCGGGCGAAGCATCCTGGCTCAATGGACTGGATGGGCACAATTACATGGGCTTGGTCTTTGCCACCAGCATGCCTGACCACAGTATTCACCTGGTGTTGTGGAAGGAAGATGGCTGATGCCACGAGCTTACCATGGCTGACTGACTTTGGGTGCCCGGGCTGCGGGTTTTCAGTGCAACCTCTGTGGCACCCAACTATACGAACCAAAGTTCTCACCTAATGGTATCATTGTGCAGTGCACCATCATTTATCCATGTTTGCCAGGGGGCCAGGGCTTGGGGCAGGGGAGGGCTTGTTTTATTGACATACAGCGCAGCATGCTAGTGGGGGTATGCCACTGACTTCATTTGTACTTAGTTATGTTGGTCAGTATAAGAGGATGCATTTTGGGTTCATCTTTCTTGACTATTGGTTTTAAGTAAAGAAAGTTAAATGGCTCATTAATCTGCTAATTGGTTGCCTATAAAAACACATTCAGTCTATTAAATTAAAGCTTTTTACTATATAAAAAAAGAATTATACCAAACATTTAAAGAAAAATAAACATAATTTTCACACAATCTCTTCCAGATAATAGAAAGGAGAGAACAATTTCAGACCAGTTTTATGAGGTCAACATTATCCTGATGTGAATACTAAGACAAAGACAGTATAAAACCATAGACCAATTTACCTCATGAATAGAGATGCAAAACTACTTTAAAAATATTAGCAAACATGGGGCACCTGAGTGGCTCAGTCGGTTAGGCATCCAACTCTTGATCTGGACTCAGGTCATGATCTCATGGTTTTGGAGTTTGAGTCCCTGGTTGGGATCTGTGCCGATAGTGCAAAGTCTGCTTAGGATTCTCTCTCTCTGCCCCTCCCCCGGTTGCGCTCGCTCTCTCTGTCTCTCAAAATAAATAAACGTTAAAAGAAATATTAGCAAACAGAATTTAGCAACAAAAAAAGAATTATATGACATGACCAAGTAAGGTTTATTCCAAGTATGCAAGGCTGATTCAGTATTTAAAAATCATTCAATGTAGTCTACCACATTAATTAGATAAATAAGAAAAACCATAAAATTATAGCAAGTAGATACAAAAATGTTTTTTGACAAAATTCAAAATCCATTCATAAGAAATACTCTCTGAAAACTGGAAATAGGAGAAATAAGAGAGCTTCCTCAAGTTGATGAAGAATGTAAAAGACCTCCTGCCAAATAATATAACCTGGTGAAAGACTGATGCTTTCCCTCTAAGACTGGAAACAAGGCAAATTACCACTGCTCTTACCACTCCTAAGAAAGTTCAGCAAGCTCTCAGCATAAAAGGACATATAAAAATATTCTATAAACTAGCAACTGATAAGAAAACAAAGTAAAATACAATGCCGTTTACAATCCCTCAAAACAATCAAAAATTGATTACTGATTGAGGTATACATTGAATAAAACATGTACAGGACTTTTATACTGAAAACTATAAAACCCTGATAAAAGAAATCAAAGATCTAAATAAGTATATATCATTTGTTTATGGATTGTAACACAGTACAGATATTAACTCTTATAAGAATAGGAAACTGATACATTAAATGTAATTGCCAGAGCAAGTAAGATTTTAAAAAACACAACATTGGGGCGCCTGGGTGGCGCAGTCGGTTAAGCGTCCGACTTCAGCCAGGTCACGATCTCGCAGTCCGTGAGTTCGAGCCCTGCGTCGGGCTCTGGGCTGATGGCTCAGAACCTGGAGCCTGTTTCCGATTCTGTGTCTCCCTCTCTCTCTGCCCCTCCCCCGTTCATGCTCTGTCTCTCTCTGTCCCAAAAATAAATAAACGTTGAAAAAAAAATTAAAAAGAAAAAAACAAAACCACAACATTATTCTAAATTTATATGTAAAGCTGAAGTAACCAGAAGAGATAAAATAATGTTGAAGAAGTATGATTTGGGAAGCATCACTTTACCTGATTTAGAAAACCCAGAAACTAACCAATGAAAATACAGCCAACTGATTTTTGGCAAAGGAAAAAATTCAATGGAAGAAAGGTAATGGTACAGAACAAGTAGATATCCACAGGCAACAAAATGATCTCAATGTAAACTTCACTATACAGGAATTAACTCAAAATGCACCATTAATGTAAATGTAAATGTAAAATGACCTAATTTTTTAAAATGTGGAGAAAAACTTTGGACCAAAAACTTGGTGAAGCATTCTTAGACACAACAACAAAACACTCTGATAAATCGGACTTCATCAAAATTAAAAATTTACACTCTGCTAAAGACTTTATGAAGAGGATGAGAAGACAAGGCACAGACTAGTATAAAAATGTACAAATTATACATTTGACAAAAAACTTATATCTAGACTATATGAACTCACAAAATTCAATGGTAAAGCAACATCAACAACGTGAAGTAAGAGGAGGGAACACTTTCACATTCATTTTGAGGCCAGCATTACTCTGATACCAAAACCAGACAAGAACACCACAAGAAGGAGAATTACAGGCCCATATTCTGGATGAACATACATAGTCCTCAACAAAATATTAGCAAACTGAATTCAACAACACACTAAAAGGATCATATAGCATGATCAGGTAAAATTTATTCCAAAGATGCAAGGATGGTTCAATATTTGGAAATCAATCAATGAGATATACCATATTAACAAAATGAAGAATAAAAATCATGTGGTCATATCAATATGCATAAAAAGTATCTGATAAAATTCAATGTCCATTTATGATAAAAAAATTCTCAACAAAGTGAGTACAGAGGGAATGTATCTCAACATAATGGAAGCCATATATAACAAGCCCAGAGCTAATATCATACTGAATGGTGAAAAGCTGAAGAGTTTTTCCTCTAAGATCAGGAAAAAAGATGCCACTCTCACTAATTTATTTAACATCCTATTGGAAGTCCTAGCCACAGCAATTAGGCAAGGAAAAGAAATAAAAGGCATCCAAATCAGTAAGGAAGTAAAACTATCACTATTTGCAAATGACACATTATACACAGAAAACCCTAAAGACTCTACCAAAAAACTCTTTGAATACATGAATTCAGTAAAGTTGTAGGATATAAAAATCAAGATACAGAAAACTGGTGTGTTTCTATACACAAGCTATCAGAAGAAAAAAAAACAAAAACAATCCCAGTTATAATAAAAAAATAAAATACCTAGGAATATATTTAATCAAAGAGGTGAAAAACCTATACAGTGACAACTATAAGGCATTGATGAAAAAAATTAAAGAAGAGAAATAAATGGAAAGATATTCTGTGCTTATGGAGTGGAATAATTAATACTGTTAAAAAGTCCATACTACCCAAAGCAATCTGCAAATTCAATGCAATCCCTATCAAAATTCCAATGGCATTTTTCACTGAACTGGAAGAAACAATTCTAAAATTTGTATGTAATCACAAAAGACCCCAAAGAGTCAAAGCAATCTTGAGAAAGATGCTAGGGGCATCACACTCCCTGATTTCAAACTGTATTACAAAGCTGCAGTAATCAAAATAGTATGGTATTGGCACAAAAACAGACACACACAGCAATGAACTAGCCCAGAAATAAACCTGTGCATATATAGTCTATCAACTCACTACAAAAGAGCCAAGAAATATACAATAGGGAAAGGGCAGTCTCTTAAATAGGTGTTGGAAAAACTGGACAGCCACATGTAAAACTATGAAACTGGGCCATTATCATAAACCAGATATAAAAATTAACTCATAATGGATTAAAAACTTGAATTTAAGACCTAAAGCCATAGAACTCCTAGAAGGAAACAAAGGCTTGGTCCTTGACACTGGTCTTGGTGAGGACTTTTTTGGATTCAACATCAAAAGCATAAGCAAAAAAGCAAAAACTCAAATGGGACTACATAAAACAAAAGCTTCTGCACAATAAAGGTACCATCAACAAAATGAAAAAAGCAACCTATTTGAATGGGAGAAAATACTTGAAAACCATATATCTGATAAGGGATTAATATCCAAAATATATAAAGAACTCCTACAACTCAACAGCAAAAACCAAACAATTTATTTAAAATATGGGCAGAGGCGCCTGGGTGGCTCAGGCGGTTAAGTGTCTGACTTCAGCTCAGATCATGATCTCATGGTTTGTGAGTTCAAGCCCTGCATCGGGCTCTGTGCTGACAGCTCAGAGCCAGGAGCCTGCTGTGTCTCCTTCTCTCTCTGTCCCTACCCTGCTCACGCTCTGTTTCTTTCTCAAAAATGAATAAATATTAAAAAAATAAAAACAAAATAAAATAAAATATGGACAGAGCAACTGAATGGATTTTTCCAAAGAGGACACATAGATGGCCAACAAATACATGAAAATGTGGTCAACATGATTAGTAATCAGGGAAATGAAAATCAAAACGAAATGAGTTATCACCTCACACTTGTTAGAATGGCTATTATCAAAAGGATAGGAAATAACAAGTGTTGGCGAGTATGGGGAGAAAAGGAAATCCTAGTGCACTGTTGATGGGAATGTAAATTGGTACAATCACAATGGAAAACAGTATGGAGTTTCCTCAAAAATTAAAAGTAGAGCTACCATATGATTCAGCAATTCCACTTCTGAGTATCTGAAGAAAATGAAAACACTAACTAGAAGAGACATATTAACCCCCATGTTCACTTGGCATTATTTATGACAGCCAAGAAAATGGAAATAACCCAAGTGTCCACTGATAAGCAAATGGATAAGAAAATGTATTTATAGGGGCGCCTGGGTGGCGCAGTCGGTTAAGCGTCCGACTTCAGCCAGGTCACGATCTCACGGTCCGTGAGTTCGAGCCCCGCATCAGGCTCTGGGCTGATGGCTCAGAGCCTGGAGCCTGTTTCCGATTCTGTGTCTCCCTCTCTCTCTGCCCCTCCCCCGTTCATGCTCTCTCTCTCTCGGTCCCAAAAATAAATAAATGTTGAAAAAAAAAAAGAAAATTATTTATATATATTTGTACTTATTTTTTAGATGGAATTTTATTCAGCCCTAAAAAAGAATGAAATCTTGCTATCTGTGACAACATTAATGGATCGTGACAGCATTATGCTAAGTACAATAATTCAGACAGAGAAAGATGAACAGGATATGATCTCATAT